GTGGGGCGACCAGTTTGCCGGCTGGCAGCTGCCAAAAGCCGAGGCAGAGGCCTGGGAGGCAGTGCGGGACGTGCGCAAGCGGGTCTTCCAGCACATTCAAGATGCACGAGATGTACGTCAAGTGGGGTGCCTCTCCGCAGCAAGCACACACACACACACAAAAAAAAAAAACACACGCACATACGCACACACACACACACACACACACACACACACACACACACACACACACACACACACACACACACACACACACACACACACACACACACACACACACACACACACACGCCGCACACCTTGCATGTGTTTTTTGTACTTTGCTGGCGTGCTTTGGTTGCCGTGCTGCATCCATGCTCACATTCCTGTCGGACCAACTGCCATGGCTGCGGGCGAACCAACTTCTCACGGGCATTCCCATACCCATGCACCACTACCACCGATACCACCACCACCACCACTGCATCCCACCACACTTGTCAGGCAAAGGTTGTGACGAGTTCGCTGGACAGCGAGGTGACCATCAGGGCCGCCCGGCCGTTGGCGCAGCAGCTGTCGCGCCTCCAGGAGACCCCGCTCTATTGGGACGACTCGCTGCTCAACGCCATTCTCATGACATCCGCCGTGCACGTGGAGGAGCAGGCAAGCGCAGCAGCAGCGGCAGTAGCAGGAGGGGAGGTGGCGAGCGAAAGTGTTGATGTGTGTGTTGATGTGCGGGCGTCGTCGCGGGGCAAGTGCCCGCGCTGCTGGCGGTTCATGGCCGTGGACAACGCCACGCCATGCACGCGCTGTCAGCGAGTCCTCGCTGGCATGCCTGCATCATCCACACCACCAACCCCAGCGACAGCGGCGGCGGCGCAATAGCACCTGCTTCGGTTTAGAAGAGAGAAGGAAGGGCAGAGGAGAGGCGGGGGAGGTGTTGTGACATGAGACATGACATGATGGTCTCGTTGTGTGAGCCATGAACGCGTGCACGACATGGTAGGTTCGCCTTGGCTCACCACCAACAACAACATAAATTCGGGACAACACGCAAGCAAGCAAGCAAGCAAGAAAGGCAAGAAAGGCAAGCAAGCACAGAATGGCGCAGAAGCAAGAGTTAGGAGATTAGTGTGGTGATGGCGAACGCTGCGGTGCATTCATTGCATGTCAGCAACGTTCAACCAAGTACCAGACGAGAGAAGCAAAGCGGCTGGTGGTGCTGTGGCCGACTTGAACAGACGACTTGATTGTCTGACCGACTGACGGACTGAGCGACTGCCCAGAGAACTGCATACAAGGCTCAAGGAGATGGAGGCATCGTCGCAGCGGGAGGTGATCGACTTCCTGTCCACTGCCACGGCGTACCGGGAAAAGTTTCTTGGCCCGCACTGGTCCGAGGAGTCTGCGTGCGTGTGCTCGACAATCACGGCCGTGAAGCGGCGGCGCAGCAGCGCCATTGCCGTGTCAAACGCAGACAAGGCCAGCAAGGGGACGCTTGAGGAGGAGCTGCGCCCCATCATCGCAGCCCTGACAGACAAGGATGTCACCCACACCATGACCCACACATCGTATGTGTTCCTTGTCGGCGACAGGCTCGCCTTCAAGCTGGAGCGCGCCGTGAAGTACCCGTTCTTGGACATGAGCACGCTGCCCAAGCGCCGCATTGCCGTGCTGAAAGAGCTGTGCCTGAACCGGTCCACGTCCCCCGAGATCTACCTGGGCGTGGTTGCGGTGTGCAAGAACGAAGGCGGACAGCTCTTCCTCGTCCCGCTGAGGTCGTGCGAGCCGGGCGTGAACACGGTCACCCTCCAGGAGGAGGAGCACCAGCAGGCCGCCGGGCAGCGGGAGCTTGCCATCGTCGACTTCCTGGTGGAGATGCTCCAGTTCAAGCAGGAGGACATCCTGGACGAGGTGGCGAAGCGTGGGGAGCTGACGCACGACATGATGGAGCAGGTTGTGGACCAAGCAGTGCTCTTCCATCGCCACGCACGCGTGCACCACGAAGCGCAGTATGGCAGCGATGCCATGGCGTGGATCACCAAAGACAACCTGACCGAGATGTGCGAGTTTGCCAGCGACACGTCGAAGAACGTTGACGCCGACCTTGCCCGCAGCGTGTGCGAACGGTGTGTCAAGGACACATCCACGCACTCTGCGCTCCTGGCAAAGCGGCTTGAGGAAGGCAAGGTGCGCTTCTGTCACGGCGACCTCCACTTGAAGAACATGGTGCTTCTCTCGGATCGCCGCCCACGCCTTTTCGACTGCATTGAGTTCAACGACGACCTTGCCATCACCGATGTGCTGTATGACATTGCCTTTCTCTTGATGGACTTGCTCCACCGCGGCCTCCACTCCCTCGCTAACATCACCCTCAACAGGTACAACGTTGCGTGTGTGTGTGTGTGTCTGTGTGTGTCTGTGTGTGTGTGTGTTTGTATGAGTGGGTGAGTATGTGTGTATGAATGAGTGAGTATGTGTGTGGATGAGTGAGTGAGTGTGCACTTGTATGAATGCCCTTGACCAGTGTTCGTTCGTGTGTGTGTGTGTGTGTGTGTGTGTGTGTGTGTGTGTGTGTGTGTGTGTGTGTGTGTGTGTGTGTGTGTGTGTGCACTGCATCTCACTGGTTCACTCTTCGTCACAACTGACTCGCGCGTGATCTTGTATCCTGTTCAGGTACATTCAGAAGACACACGACATTGAAGGGCTGGCGCTGTTGCCACTCTTCCTTGCGACACGCGCCATCATCCGCGCCAAGGTTTCTTGTGCACAAATGTCATCCGAATCCACGGATGAGGCCGCCATGAAAAAGCTTCAGCACAGGTGTGCATCTCGTGTGTGTGTGTGTGTGTGTGTGTGTGTGTGTGTGTGTGTGTGTGTGTGTGTGTGTGTGTCATGTCTGTTGGAGGAATGATTGGGAACAAGAAGAGCAGCATGGCCCAAGCGCTGGTGCTTGACTGACTTCCCATGCCTTGGTAAATCCGTGGTGACTTGGACAGGACAAACGCGTACCTGCACCTTGCACAGCAGATGCTGGGCATGGAAGAGCCCTCGACCATGTGTGTGGCGCTTGGCGGCTTCTCCGGCTCGGGAAAATCCGCGGTTGCTCGTCTTCTCGCCTGCGATCTCACCGGGCCCATCGGTGCAGTCGTCCTGAGGTGTGTGTGTGTGTGTCTGAGCGTGTGTTTGTGTGTGTGTGCGTGCGTGCGTGCGTGCGTGCGTGTGTGTGTGTGTGTCTATGTGTGTGTGTGTGTCTGAGCGTCTGTCTGGGTGTCTCTGTCAATCCGTATGTGTGGGCGTGACGGCTTGTGTATGACGATCTTGTCCGATTCGAGCATCGTGTGCGTGCAGGGTTGTGTGTCTATGTGGTGTTGATTCTCGTGCTTTCTGTGCAAAGACGCAAACGTTGATCGCAACACACTGCTCGCCTCTGCCGTTGCCCGTTCTTGCAGGTCTGATGTCGTGCGAAAGCACATGTGGAATGTGGATTTGTTGGACCGGCTGCCTGATGGCGCATACACGGATGAAAACAGGCACAAGTGCTACAAGAAGATGGCAGAGCTTGCGCAGCAGGTGATGCTTGCTGGCTGGCATTCATGCTGGCGTGCATACTTGCTTCAGAGGAAAGATCACGGCGTGCACGGAGAACCCTGACCGCGTGAGCAGTTGTTTACGTGAGCTCCCATACTCACCCTTGGACTTGTTGTGCTGCTGTCCTGCAGGTGATGCAAGCGGGCTTCCCCGTTGTATTGGATGCGACATACACCACAGACGAGCAGCGGCAGTCGCTTGATGCCCTGTCGACATGCCAACGTTGGTGCTTGCCTTGACCTGCCCCCCCCCACCCTCTCTCGCTACTGTTGTGGCCTGTATTGTCGCTGCTGCTGCTGCTGCTGCTGCTGCTGCTGCTGCTGCTGCTGCTGCTGGCCTTCACTTTCTGCGCCTTTCCTTGTGTCCGTTAGTTCTCGTACGCTGACCTCAGCATGCACGGCAATGTCCTCTGTTGTGTGCGTGTGTGTGTGTGTGTGTGTGTGTGTGTGTGTGTGTGTGTGTGTGTGTGTGTGTGTGTGTGTGTGTGTGTGTGTGTGTGTGTGTGGTTCAGGTGTGTGGCTGGATGCTGACCTGGAGACGCGGGCGCAGCGCATTGCCCGCCGCGATACCAACAACGCAGATGCGAGCGACATGACTGTTGACAAGCTCAAGAAGTAAGCGTGCGTGTGCCTACCTGTGTCTCTGTCTCGGCCTGTCCATCTGTATCTGTCTGTGTGTCCATCTGTATCTGTCTGTGTATCTCCGTGTGCGCATGTGCATGTGGTTTTGCACAGACACTCGTTGCTTCCTTCCATCCTCAGATCCTCACTTGCGGTCGTGAATGTGCGTGGCTGTTGCCTGCTATCATGGTCCTGGACCCGACAGACAACAAGGCACACCACCGCCCAAAGACGAGTGGCTGTACGTTGACTCCACACCACCGCTGAAGGACGTGGTGCACACAGTCATCACGCTCGTCAAAACCATCATCGAATGACCAACCAGATGAAGGGCAGCGGCGCCCATGCCTGGATATGTATGAATGCATGCACCTGTCTGTCTATGTGCTTAGCTGTCTATGTGTGTAGCTCTGTGTGTGTGTGTGTGTGTGTGTGTGTGTGTGTGTGTGTGTGTGTGTGTGTGTGTGTGTGTGTGTGTGTGTGTGTGTGTGTGGTTTTGTTACGTTGTTGATCCACCCCCTTGCAAAGCAAGAACCAAAGCAAAGGTCGCCATTCAACATAAACAGCCAAAACACAAAAGCACGCAGAACCCTTCGCGTCAATACCACGACCATGTTTGGCAAACGTGAGCAGGAGCCGTCCATGCTGAACATGAACGATGACCACTTGCGGCATGTGGAGAAGGACATTGTCATCCCCAAGATGTATGCGCCCAACGGCTGTCTACCTGTGCTTGTTTGTGCCCGTGTCTTCTTCGCCCAGACGTGTGTCTGGCAGTGGTGAATGTGCCAGTGTGCTCGCTCCCTGCTGCCTCAACGCCATCTCAACTCTCCACCGCGTCGCTCTTGACATCTTCATCTGAGGGTTGCGGTGAGCCCTCTCTGCGCTTCCAGGCCCGTGTAACACGTTCTTATGAGTGCTTGCGTCTGCGTTGTCGTCTTTGTTCACTGGATGCAGGGTGAAGGAGGCCGCAAGGATCGCATGTGCCGATGTCGTCAAAGGTGTGTGTACGCATGTATGTGAATGCGTGCTGTGTGACGTTGCCAATGCCGCACCTGCTGGATGCGCTTTGCACCCTTGCTTGTGTGTGCATCGCAAGCGCGCCACCCGGTTCACCCTTGTTGTGCGTTTGGCTGTCGCTGCTTTGTCAGAGTTCGAGGACTGCGCGCGTGGAAGGACAATCTCGGTTGTGTTCGCGTGCAGGGAACAGAACAAGAAGCTCACGGAATGTGTCCTTGCCAAGTAAGGCCATCATACGTGTCTGTGCGGCTGTGTGTGTGTGTCTGTCTGTCTGTCTGTCTGTCTGTCTGTCTGTGCGGCTGTGTGTCTGTGTCTGTGGCTGTCTCTGTCTCTGTGCATGTCACTGGCTATGTGTGCACCTGTGTGCCTGTGTGTCTTCGTTTGTGTCTTCGTTTGTGTGTATGTTCACTACGCATTGCTTGTGCTCTTCCACTCCATGCTTGCACCACTGGCCCCATTGCGACCGGCTTTCGTTCTCACATGCACACGTGCGCACTGACACCTTGCCCTGCTGTTGCAGCTCCACGCCTGAACACTTTGAGCGACAGACACAGATCTTCCTGGAGAAGAGGAAGGAAGCACGGCTGGCTGAGGAACAGCAAGCAGCACAAGAAGCCCAGCCACAACAACAGACGCAGCAACAACAGCAACAGCAGCAGCAGTAGCAACAGCAACAGGAGCCTTGCTATTACCTTCCCCCTTCTCGTCATGCTCCTCCTCCCTGCGACACTCGCTCCCTTCCTGTCCATCCTGTCTGTGCAACACCCTTATCGCATAAACGCCTGCTGTACCTCTCCTTTCATCAACATTGCACCGCCAAGCACGTCCCATCCATAATAATCGCACACAAACGCCACACAACAACAACGAACCAACAAGGAAGGACCACGTGGTTGGTGGTGGCGAAGAGCGAGATGGCGGTGGTGTTGGGCGTTTGGGGAGCTGCGGCTCGGCAGGGAAGGCAGTGCGCTGCATGGAGCACAGTAAGGGCTGTGGCACAGCTGGCCGGTGGTCGTGGTGGTGTGGGACCGGTGAGGGCAGGAGCCTCAACAACTCGGTGGTTGAATGCCGTGTATGGCGGAGGACATCATCATTGCCACCACAGACAGCAAGCCCAGCTCCAGCAGCGGCGCAACGTTCACTACGATGTCGTTGTTATTGGAGGCGGTCACGCCGGTTGCGAGGCTGCTGCCGCCAGTGCTCGCGTCGGTGCACGGACTGTTCTTGTCACTCAGAAGAAGGACACCATAGGTGTGCATGCGCGCGCGCGTGTGTGTGTGTGTGTGTGTGTGTGTGTGTGTGTGTGTGTGTGTGTGTGTGTGTGTGTGTGTGTGTGTGAGTGTGTGAGAGAGTGTGAGTCTGTGTGTGGTGTGTGTGTGTGTCTTTTGTCTTGTGTTTGTTTTTTTTGTGTTTTTG